TCTCTGAATAAGGACTTATTTAGCCCAAGTATAACATTTGGCACTGAAACAGAACTGACTATGTAGATAAGAACTTTCAAATTTGGATGGAAATAATTGTGTTTAAAGCATAGTTCTACAATATGCAAAGTATCAGCCATCTTTAATGAAATGTTGACAGCACTCAGTACAAGGGACGGGTTGCACCTTTCAGAATCAACCTTAGGTGGGGTAAATAAGGAAACAAGAAATTTGACTAAAACTTAAATCTTAAACTGCTAACTTTTCCACCAGTGGAGGAGCATGCTACAATACAGGAGACAAAATGCAGGAGCTGTTTTTCTGCAGTGTTCACTTTCCAATAACTTCTGTTGGCAGTTTATCTAAATTTAGTCTGTCTTCTGCAGATGAATGGTTGCAAAGCGTAATCCCACTGGTAAAACTTGAAACAAGTTCTGCACTTAAAATTATCATTTCTTCCTTAAAAAAAAAAAATAAAACAAAACAAAACAAAACAACAAAAAAAACCCACTCTGTTATTCAAACAAAGCCATCTTGGCTCCATAGCTCTTTCTTAAAAAGGAAGTCCAGCTCAAAGGCACAGGTTTGCGTGAAGTCGATGGAAAAAAGTTATCCTGCATTATACCATAACATGGTACTACATCTGTTCCTCTGCAGCAAAGAGAATAAATTAACTCCCCTGCATGTCAGTGTAACATATATATACACCATATAACACTTCTGACTTGTTGATACTTTTTTTCTGACTCGAGTTCATTGAAAACTGAGGAAACAGGCAAAAAAAAAAAAAAAAAAAGTGGTTAGCTGTCGCAATAATCTAATAATCTGGCATTAAAATTGATAGACAGAGGCAACAAAATCCCTGTGCAGTGGGCTGAGATCCTACTGTTAACTGGCAATTATCTTCTCCACCACAGTCTCTTCACATAAAGGACTTTCCAGCTACATAAATAGAGAGCTTAAGGATAAGCTTTATTATGTGCTCAGTATTGATGTAACAGTACTTTCTTGAAGTCAGTAGTAAAATTCTGACTGACCTACTAGGAATTCTCCCCTCTTCTCAGATTCAGTTTATTACCACTGTAAGGTATTTTGTGTAACAATACCATTATATATGAACATAACCCACATACTCCAGCAACTGGGACCATTCTGTGACCATCTGGTCTTCATGAGGGACTTAAAACACCACAATATCTGTTGGTGGGACAAGACAGAAGGATGTAAGCAAACCAGAAGATTTCTGGGGTCGTTGATAATAACCTCCTCCCCCAAGAGACAGAGGAGTCAACAGGGAGAGATGGTATGGTAGACCTACAAGGAAAGGCTAATGGAAAATGTGAACAAGGGCAGCCCTGGTAGCAGTGACCCTGAAGTGTGGAATTCAAGATTGTTAGGACAATATCGAGGGCATAGAGTAAGCATGCTGCTCTGCATTCAAGGAGAGCAGACATCGGCCTCTTCAGGGATCTGTTTGGTAGAGTACCTGGAGGCAAGAGAGACTGAATAAAGCTGGCTTTTTCTTCAAGTTCAGAAGTGACACATTCCAACAAAGAGGAAATCGGACAAAAACACCAGGAGTTCTGAAAAGAACAGGGAGATCCTGGAAAAACTGAAACACAAAAAGGAAGTCTATAAAGAGTGAAAGCAAGGACAGCTATCATCGGAGGTATACAGTGACACTGTCCAAGCAGACAGATCAGAGTAGGAAAGCTAAGTCCTGACAGAATTAAATCTGAATTAAATATGGCCAAGGAGGTGAGGGAAACAAGGAAGACTGCTACTAATATGTCATGATAAAAGAAAGTGTAGGGAAAATGTGAGTACTGTCCAGAAGAAAATCAGAGAGCTTGTTACCGAAGTTGTAGAGAATGGTGAGGTATTCAATAGCTTTTTTGCCTTGGTCTTCACTGACAAATGCTCTAGCCCTATCACCCAAGTCAGAAAGCAAAGGATAGAGAGTCCTGTGGACAACAAGTTGGCCATGAGCCAGCAGTGTGCCCTTGTGGCCAAAAAGGCCAATGGCATTCTGGGGTGCATTAAAAAGAGTGTGGCCAGCAGGTCGAGGGAGATGATCCTCTCCCTCTACTCTGCCCTGGTAAGGCCTCATCTGGAGTACTGTGTCCAGTTCTGGACTCCCCAGTACAAAAAAGACAGGGAAAGAGTCCATCAGAGGGCCACAAAGATGGTGAAAGGTCTGGAGCATCTCCCCTATGAAGAAAGGCTAAGTGAACTGGGTCTGTTTAGCCTTGAGAAAAGAAGACTGAGAGGGACCTGATCCAGGTCTATCAATATCTAAGGTGTGGGGGGCAGAGTGGCGAGGCCAGACTGTTTTCAGCAGTGTGTGGGGACAGGACAAGGGGGAATGGCCAGAAACTACAGCATAGGAAGTTCCGCACAAATGTGCGCAAGAACTTCTTTATGGTGAGGGTGATGGAGCACTGGAACAGGCTGCCCAGGGAGGTTGTGGAGTCTCCTTCTCTGGAGATATTCAAGACCCGCCTGGATGCCTACTTGTGCGACCTGGTGTAGGGAACCTGCTTTGGCAGGGGGGTCGATGATCTCTGGAGGTCCCTTCAAACCCCTACAATTCTGTGATTCTGTGATTCTGTGAATGAAGGATCCTACGATTCTGTGATTCTGTGAATGAAGGATCACCCACTGTAGGAATAAGAATAAGGTTTGAAACCACCTAAGTTTTGCAAAGATGCCCAAGTACACAGGACTTGATGAGACAAACCCTAGGGTCCTGTAGAAATTGGCAGATGAAGTTGCTAAGCAATTTGAGAACCCAGCAAAGTTCCCACTGACTGAAAAAGGAGAAAATAACCCCAATCTTAAAAAAAACACAAAAAGGAACACCTAGCAAATCATGGACCAGCAAGTCTCCTGTATCTGGTGAGATCGCAGAGTATATCTTTCTGGTAATGTGGAAAACAGAGATGACTGACCACAGGCAATACGACTTCACTAAGGGCTAACTCCGTTTGACAAATTCTGTGGCCTTCAACAGTGGGCTTACAGCAATGATGAATAAGGGAAGAGCAACTGATGTCAACTAAATGGACTAGTGGAAAGCGTGTGATACTGTTCCGCATGACATTTTTGTCTCTAAATTGGAGAGACATGGATTTGACAGATCAACCACTAAGTGGAACCACCTAGATGGAAAGGATTGCAATCAATAGCTCAATGTCCATGTGGAGACCAGAGATAAGTGATCTTCTTCAGAGATCTGTACTATTTAACATCTGACGTAGGCAGTGGGTTCAAGTGCACCTTCAGTAAGTTTGCAGATGACCCTAAGAGCATGGTGCAAATCTTGATGGAACACAACAATGGGATGTTATCCAAACGGGCCTGGTAGGCTTGAGCTGTGTGAACCTCATAAAGTTCAACAAGGCCATGTGCAAGGTGCTGTACCTGAGTTGGGGCAATTCAAAACATGAACATGGGCTAGCTAATAAGTAAATCAAGAGCAGCCCTGCAGAGAAGGACTTTGGGGTCATAGTGAAAAACTGAACACAGGCTGGCAATGTGTACTTACAGCCTAGAAAGCCAGGCATGTCCTGGTCTGCTTCAAAAGATGCCTGACCAGCAGGTTGAGGGAATTGTTTCCCTCTAATGCACTCTCATGAGACACCTCCTATATTTAATTCTGGGGTCTCCAGCATATAAAGATGTGGATCTGACGGAGTGGCAAGCAGGATGAGCTTCTCCATATTATAACACTTCCCTGTACTAAAGAGGTAAATGAAGAATCATTTTTGAAGAACGCTTTTGTTTTTCATTCCAGAACAATATAGATTTGTCAGAACTGCTCCTGAAAGCTAGGAACAATCTATTTTGAATGTATAACCCTAGATTTAAGAGCTGATTCAAAAGTGAATTCCGTCATGGATTTATGGAGGAATGGCGGAAGTATATGGATTCTCTGTGTTCAAGCAAACTGTTCACTGACAGACATAGATGGAACATAAGTAAAACTAAGACAAAGACAAAACTAAGAGCATTAATTCCATTAATTCCATTGCTTATTTTTCAATTCCCAAGCTTGTATGTATTATAACTACCTGAAGGGAGGTTGTAATGAGGTGGGGGTCACCCTCTTCTCTCAAGTAACAAGAGATAGGGCTAGACAGAATGACCTCAAATTGCTTCAAGGAAGAGTCAGGTTGAATGTTAGAAAGCACTACTTCTCTGGAAGAGTGGGTTTGAGAATAGACCAGTCACAGGAAAATTTAATGTTTTTTTTACTTTTCACCATCCAACACCTTGTTGAACCAAGACTGATCAGAGTCATATCGTGAATCATGAAGTACCGTGGACTTCACATCACTATCCATGGTTTGTAGTCAACATGTGGCAGGATCATAATCTCTCTGCTGCATCAGAATCATTTAATTAGCAACTTCTGCAAAGACTATGGTTATATTATATAACCACAAATAATTTAATTAAAGATACTAATCCTCAATAGAAGGTTCATGCTTATATTTTTCTTTTTGATATTGAGATGTCTCCCTTTTAAAAGAGAAGATTAAACTTGGATTTCAATTAAATATCTTTCTAACTTTATGTTTAGGACATGTAAAAACCTCGATTATATACCTTATGAACTATAAGATATTTAGCGGCATTTATATCATATCCATCTTCATATATATATAAAAGATATATACAGTTTCTCAAACTTTTAATGCATTTATTTGAATATCCTTTTATAATATCTAAAAAATAAAATGTTTTGACACCAGTTTTGTGTGAGCTGCTGTCACTGACTATAGCATCTTTAAACCTGACTGACTCTTTGTAGACTTCATATTTGCTCTTAATTTAGGTCCAGTACAGCACAAACTATAGGTTCACTCCATTCAGCAATTCACTTCAGATTCAAAAAAGCCAAAATGCATTGTACACAGAACATATTTGCTTTTCCCTATTAGAACCCCAAGTTGTTTTGAAATTTGTCATGCAGAATACACATGGACCTATCTTACCTTGCATGTGTTCCACATAGCAGTACACATCGTAAGTTTCATTAGGAAAACGGCGTCCATATGTTCTGACTCCTTTCTTTCCCATTTTATCTCCAAAGCAACCAATTCTTGGATGTCTAATTGGATATCTGAAATGCAGCATGTCCATATTTATTAACATGGTAAGTCAGAACATAAGTCTTTACAGGCTAAGCATACTAATTTGGAGAAACTCTGTCAAAGTGCGTTTTAAGCCTCTCACCTAACAGTCTGGTCAGACAACCAGCCAGCATCACATTGTTCAAATCCATCTTCATATGCTGCTTTCAGTTGCTCTGGGCTTGCTATGACAGCACCATTGTCCAAACAAGTCTGCTGAGCTTGTGTAAAATTCAAAGTGTACCTGCTGGTGGCTGCACGATAGTGAAATACTACACCTGAAAAGATAACAAACTCAGATTACTGACACATTTTGCATCATTTCTGCAGTCATCATTATATTGTAACTTTACCTGGATATTGTTATGATGGTAAAAACAGATGGGTACAATTAAAACACTAGAAGGCTGAGATATTCCATCAATTGAATTATTTCCCTCACCCCCCCCCCTAGTGGTTACTACCAGTAACTATATGACACCCTATCTTTTTAATAGTTTGAACTATATTCAGCATATTCTGAAAAAGTAATTAAACCATGTAAGCATTTCCACTTGAGTATAACGGAACATTGTGACCAAAAAGAATAATGTACACTGAAGTACATCCATATGCTATGGGCACTACCTGACACACTCACTTGTCAGCCCATCCAATTGCAAGTCAAATCATGTGAGCAGGCAAGACTGAACAGACCTAATCACTGGAAAAAGCAAGAAAAAAAAACAGACTTTTGGAAGTAGCCAGCTGCAGTTACTGTATGCATAAGCGCCAAAAGTGAATGGGGCAACCCTTGAGTGTTTGAGATCTGCCAGTCACAGGGAAGCATGCAGCAAGTGGACACACCAAACAGTTTGTTCTTCTGATGCAGGCTGGCTTATCAGTGATGGCCCTCGTGTCTGATCCTACACATTCACAGATGATTGCAAACACAATATTTATCAATATATGCCTGTTGACCTATTTTTCATAGCTAGGCTTTCCTGCACACAGTACCAACAATAGAGACGAAACAAAGCTTGCTTTTATTATTGCCTTTTTGGTTCCGGAAAGAATCTAGACAATTTCCTAAATTACAAGAACATGTCAGATGTCTGGAGAGTGAAGGGTAAGAGTTAAGATGGTTTTTGTTAAGACACATTATGTCAAGGAGCCACATTCTGTTTTCCATACACTTATGATTCAAACTCAGTTTGACAACAGTTGTGCCTGCACACCTAAAATGACCCATAAAGGGCACTAATTGTAAGATGGCAGACAACAGATACCCCATCTAACCAAATCACATCCTCTACATTGCTAATTTGCTCTTTTACAAAAAGATGCCTCCTGATGATGGTTGAAAAATAACACCTAGTCTCATTTATTTAAAACAAAACCTTCAGAAGCATTATAGTACCATAAATAATCCATTATGCAGAATTACTACAAAACAAGAAAAATAAATCACAAAATGTTATTTTTAGTGATAATTTTATTGGGGGTATTTCATGATGAGGATACAGTATGCTGTTATGACCTGGGAAATGTTGGCATTGAAACAATAACAAATTTAATGAGAAGTCTTTGTTATTAGTATATTGTTGAAAGATGGATGTCTGATAACTTACTAGTAAGCAGCAATATAAGTAAAAATATAATTTCCAAAACTGACCAAATTCCAGCATACTTAGAAATTGTAAATGCTTTTCCTGAAGATTAATTTAGTAAAATTATCTTATCATCAAAGGTCTAACTATAGACCATAAGCAAAAAGTACTATTTTTTTTCCTTATTTTGGTTTGCTAAGAAAGTTTCTCAAACAAAATTAGAACACACTGTGTATGTTCACACACAGGTAGTTCAAAGCTCAGTCATCAGACACCAGTTTTCATTAAAGTTTCTGGCAAAAAAACAAGAAATGGAAGAAGCACCAGAAATTTCAACTTTACTATGGACCCACATACCAGCTGCAGCCACCGCTTGGATCCTCATAGGCCACTACTGACCCATAAAGTGCATTTTCAGAGTCGCTGACAGAATACATAATGCACACTGCTTCTTCCAAGCAGCAAAGTAATTATTTCAGCTTCAAATATTGAACTGCCAAAGCCCAAAGTGAAAAGCAGGTCACAAAAAAATTATGGCTATGTTTATACTACATAAATCAGGTATTCCAGGTGCCTGCAATTCCATCATCGTGACTGTTAAAACTGCTAGACTAGTTCAGCAAGTTACTTGGCTCAGGCCCCATAACATCCTTCCAAACAATTTTCTAGCAGACTTCAGGAGTTAGCAAAGAGCAAGGATGTCTGTCTGTGAGTACCTTTCTTCTGTCTTGAGAATGAGAAGAGCAAGCGTAATGGTACAGATGAAGACCACAGCACTCCAATGGCTGGTGCGCTATGGCACGGCCTAAGGAAGATATGTTCTTACTAATGAAAACTCTGTTCTGAGAGACACAGAAAGGGAATGCCAGAGAGAGAGACTTACCAGCTCCTATGCCCCTACGCTCCTATGCCTCTGCTGTAAGGCATCTTCCACTTCCTGCTTTAGGCAAATTTACAGATCATTTGTGTTGCTTTAAGTTGTGCAAAGCTTTATCTATATGTATGTGTTTGTATACCTATAAGCATGTGTGTAGCAATATTTTGGCTTTGTTTATTCCATAACCATGCAGTTCCTTATCCCATGTCCATCACAGAACACTGCCTTACAACACAAAAAAGTTAAGGTAAAGCAACTAATTACTTTTTGAATTTAAAAATTCAAAATAACAAAAATGTTAATTGGAGATTTAAGAGCTTTATTTTAATATATTGGGTATTTTATAACACGGTCAATAATCTGGGCCACATACCTGCTTGTATAAACCAGCATGACTCTATTCAGTGGTACAATAGTAAATAAAAATTCTGAGGTTCAGTTAACCATGGTATTATTCACAAGCTGTCCAACTTGGCCTTATTGTACCAGTGGTATACAATATTTTACACTGACAGTTACACAAAGTCAAGCCAGAAATGCACAAGTATGTGAAGTAATTTTTCATTTGGCTTGCTGTTCTAATTTTAATTAAAACAAATTTTATAGACATTTAGATTCATTGCCTCTAATACTTTTTCCCCCCTGCAAGTTCACTTAACTGATGTAACATGACTTCATCCAGGCACAAGAACACTGCTTTTCCATAAAACCACAGAAAGACTTATTAACTTAGCAGGAGAAGGCAACATACTTCTCTGAACTTGCATTATTTTAAAGCTTTAAGCTGCCTATATATGAGTGCCTTCTCAACAAGCCCCTTATTTCTTACAAAACAATTCTGAAAACAATCAATGGCTTTGCTGATGACATGTGGACCTTGGTAAGGGAAAACTAAAGAGTTGATGCTAACATAAATTTGAAGGAGCTGCCGAGAAAATGCCTTTGGTCATTTGTAAATCCTGGAAAGGAACTTGGAGAATGCTTTGTTCTCCTCACCCAGATCCAAAAGGTAAACTTCACCTATTCTCAGAGTTTAAGGCTCTTCCATTTCCACTGAGGAGCCAATGGACATAAAAGAGCCTCCAAGATGAATGGGAAGGAGGACGTCAGTCTGTATAAGCCTGAGCAACAGCTGCAATAATTAGAAGACCCCCTGGGGCTAAGAAGATTAAAGTGCAGGACTTTCATTGTTTCATTTAGACAGAGAGAAGGGGGCAAAATCCATTGTCCGAGTTCTTGCACTTTACAACATTTGTAAAGGATTTTTCCCCTTTGTCCACTTGCCCTCTGAAAGAAAAGGCAAGAAAGGAGTTGTCCTAGGAACAAATAAAGCAACTGGAAAACAGACTATAACAGCGTAATGTTGTCACCGAACATCTGGCAAAGTCAGTCTAATTACAGGAAGGAGCAGCAGTGTCTGCAAAAAAGAGCACTCACAGGAAAGTAATCTGCAGCATCCAAAAATTCACTGCTGCTGCCTGAGCAAGAGAGAATGTCTTTTATTCACTTTTCTTTACCTTATACCAGAGAATGAAAACAGGACCTTCCTGAGTAAGAGACTGATACTATGGTTTTGCACCTTTGGGTTGCAGCTTTGCTTTATCACTTGCCAGGGTATCATGCTACAACACTTCCTAGAACTGGAGGGAAGGGCTCCTTCAAGATACTTCCTGCTTTATTGTGGCTAATAAACAACAGCTTTCACTGGTGAGCTCATGCTGCTGCAACTTGCCTGCCTAGATTCACATAAAGACTGAACTTCAGAATTAGTCTCATAACACAAAGACTGTGTAAAGAGAAAAGATAATTATGGTAGTGGCTGTTATTCTGTTCATTTTTATTTTCAGGTCTCAGTCAAAGTGTACAGATCCCTTAAGCATCCCTCAACGCCAAAGCTAATAGAGTTCTAACAAATTCTAAACAAAAATCTTCCTTGCTTTTATGCAGAAATCAACTTACATTGCAAATACAATCCAAAACAGAGGCAACTGGACAGAGCACTGCATCAAAGGAAGGAACAGGAATTTTGAGCTTCCTGCAATAATTCATCTGTTCTCCCACTCCGGGCTCTGCAACCATCTTGCAACTCCTATCTCTGGCTCTGGCAACCTGAGAGCAGCCTTGCATTGCATTCACAGCATCTTGGTTGCCAGATGCCTCCAGGATCCTCTTTGCATGCAAACAGGAAGCACAAATCGACCACCCAGTTCCACTTGCTGGCTCTCCAGGGACAAGGTTTCTTGCACCAACTCGCACATCACCCCTCTGCCCAAAATCTTTGCCTCCATCTTCACAGAGTAATGCAGCAACATGCAAGTGTACACAGACTCCTCTAAACAAGCTGGTGCAGAGAAAGAAAGCAGTTGATGCTCAGCCTGAACTGCATTCTTCCGACAGACAACTTGCCAAGTGGAGGACTTGGTTACTACATCTGCAATACCTCAGAACAGACAGCCTAAATCACCTACCTGCTTTGTTACCTCTGCACAACAATGTACTTGGACATACAAGCATTCAGTGAGGCCAAGACAATGATACTGAAATTTAAATTGTTAAAAAAATAAAAAAGAAATACACAGCCTCTCAGAACTGCTCTCACAATAGGAGATACTGACAGGATAAAAATCAGTGTAGCCATGCATATCAGCACCTACTTTATCTTCTTAAGGGCGGTGGTGTGTGGTCCTTTGCAGATCCTCAGCCTGACCCTAAATCACCTGCAGCCTAAAAATCAGCTGCCACCTCCCTAGTCTCTGTGCCAGGGCTGTGACAGATGTATCATAGCATCTTCATTCCTACTCCCTAGGCGCAG